AAGTCTCTGTTATTCAAATCTGTTCGCTGTGACATCTTTTTCATTATTTAGTTTTTACAATCTTGTTAATAATGGTGAATTATTCAAATGCAGAAATGGCGGAAATGCATTATGTATATGGCTTTGCCGACGGTAATGGTGAGCAAGCCAGACGGATTTATCACCAGAGATATCCCGATCGTGCTTTGCCAGATAGTCGAACCTTTTCTAATATTCATCGTCGTCTTGTTGAAACTGGTTCTGTCCGAAAAGGAACATCTGAAGGTAGACCTCTAAGTGTGAGAACACCTGAAATTGAGGAAGCAGTGCTACACGAAGTCGAAGAACATCCTGAAACGAGTACTAGGAAGATCGCTAGACACTTAAATACTTGCCATCAAATTGTTTGGAGAATTTTAGTGGATTTTTTGTTATATCGTTTTAAGAGTACAGGCATTACTTCCCATTGTTTTTCCAAGGCGTGTGACCTTTTGTCAGTGGTACCTTCACAAAAATTACACAAAATCCGCAATTTGAATCAATGATTCTGTTCACGGAAGAAGCTAATTTTTCTCGATATGCCATTCAGAATTTCCACAATAATCATTTGTGGGCAGAAGAAAATCTCTATGCCGTAACTGAAACCCATTTCCAACACCAAATTTCGGTTAACGTATCGGCAGGAATTATTGGAAAGCACTTTATTGGCCCATTCTTCTTGCCGGGACGACTTGGCGGACATACTTACCTCAATTTTCTTCAACAACAGTTGCCTTTGCTGCTTGATGATGTTCCATTAGTAATAAGAAACAATAGGTGGTACATGCATGATGGTGCACCAGCGCATTTCAGTGTAGCGGTTCGTAATTATTTACAAACTGTTTATCCAAATCGTTGGATTGGCCGCGGTGGGCCCCAAGAATGGCCACCAAGGTCCCTAGACCTCAACAGTTTAGATTTCTTTTTCTTCAAGGCACTAGTGTACACAAGTCCCATTAACTCTGTAGAGGAATTAAGAGAAAGAATAGCTTGTGATAGAATTAGAAACACTCCAGGGATATTTCTGCGAGTGCGCAATTCCATAAGGAGGGCGGAAGCATGCATACTGAGTGAAGCGGGTCATTTTCAACAATTTTTGTAATCATTTTGGTTGGTTTTAATGTTATGTTTATATTGTCAGTTGTTGTTGTTGTCCATTACCCCTGATGTGTTTAATTTTTCCAATTAAATTAATAATAATTTTGCAAGTTAGATAATAGAACGGTTTTTATTTTTTTACCCAAAAATGCGCATCAAAGCACAGCAATTCAAGAGAGATCATCTGTTTTAAATTGAATGGGGAATTCAGAAATAATTTTTATTTGGCGAAAACCCATTGGCGTAAAATTTTTTCCTTAAATAATATCGAATCAATACCCGTACGCACGCCACTGTTAAAGCTAAAAATTATTTTTGCATTGAATAATATGCTGCTTTATTAACTTTCACTACTTACTAAATATCAGTGAAATATTTGAAACGGTTCTGAAAATATTAATTAATTTCCATTTTTTTCCTAAAACTTCAACACCCCGAATTTTTGTTAGGAAACATTTTTGGACCACAGTTTATAAAGCAAACAACATTAATTTTTCGTGTAGATTCACACCATTAAATATTCGCATATCATTAAGGAACACCCTGTACACGTTCGTAGCTAATTTTTTTCATAGAGAGGATAACTTGTTCCGAATATAGTCTTTTAAGAACTCATGTCAGCTTTGCCTGAGAAATGGAATGGCAACCTACTTGACACCATTTCTTCATTAAGTTTTGTAAGCTTATGCTATATAATTTTTACTACAATTGATAGTACCTAGACCAAAGAATAGTATAAACGTGGAAAATTTCGAAATTGAAATACCACGTTTTTTGGATGATTCTCATTTCGATCGGTCTACCTGTCCGCTAATCCTTGCTACTACATTCCTCTGAAACTATTTACCAATTTTCATGGAATTATAAGTAATGGGTAGATACAAATTAAATCATTTATGAGAACTTCATAATAACTGCTCTTGAAAACAAGCTTCAAGTAGACTCCCATCTACACGAATTATATGAAAGCTTTCGACAAAGTAAATCACGATCTGCTCTTGGCATACATTAGAAAGTTTGGGAGTATCAAGCAGTCAACTTAGAAGCTACTTGTCGGAACGAACACAGTGTGTCAGATATGCTGGTTCATTATCTAATCCAATCAATGTCTTTTCAGGTGTCCTCAAGGCTCCCACATTGGTCCAGTTTTATTTACCTTATTTGTTAACGGGGATGCAGAATCTATATCAAATAGCAGGAGTTGTTTGATTTTTGCAGGTGATCTTAGGTTATTCAAAACAGTGAAAATATCCACTATGAGGAAATCTGACAAAGAGATCTCATAAATCTTACTCGATGGTATAATACTAATACATATACTAAGTGATAAGAAAAGGTAAACACCTAGGTATGTTTATCCGATTTTACTAATTTTTGGCATATATGTTCGGTGTCCCTTACTAGGAAATTTTCAGCTTGATTAGTCAACTGACTGCAGAAGCTGGTTCAATAATGTATTGAGGATACACGATTTCTTATACACTGACACGCCTGGGCATCGTGCTGATAAGGTGATCGATATCTTGTTGCGGTATCTCATTCCAGCACTGCAACTTTGTTGATCCATGAAGGCTGACGATGCAATATGCGGTCTGGCATTGTCTTGCTGAAAAATCGGGTTTTGGGTGGTGTTTAAGTATGGAATAAGATGAGGATCCACTACTTCCTGAATATAGCGTCGGGATGTCATATTACCTTTGATGAAAATTAGTCGTGATCTGCTACCATAAGCAACCACAACTCCCACGGTGTGGTGAACGTGACGCTCCATCGTGCATCCCCAGACAGAGAATTCTTTCTCTACACCAAAAGGTTATGCCGATGTTCAGCTGTGAGAGGTAGCACCCAATCTGGGCGATAAGAAAAAAAGCCAAACTGTCGTATTCGGCAATATACCGTACGCATACCAACTATCCTTCCATGCTCTCCAAACCACTGATTAGCGATGGCTCGAGTACTACTGAATCTGTCTCTCAGAGCCAGAAGTCTTAACCGGCGGTCTTGTCGCTCTGTGGTCCCTCTTGGACGTCCAGAACCCCTCGATCGCTGTCCTCGGCCTTACACGCTCGTTCACACTGCAGTGGATCTGTTGGTCCTCCTAGAAACTTCTCTTATCGATAGACCGGCTTCACGCAACCTCACAAAGTCACTTAGCTGGGACACCTGCCGAATTCTACGCACTCTAGGCATCTTGGGTATTCATAAAAAGGCTTCTCAATAAGCTCCTCGAAATTTTACATTTAACTGACACCGTAAATGTACGAAAGCTGAATGTTTCTTTATCACCAAACAATACGAGCCCCCTCCCACTTCAGTTGGCCCACTTCAAGATTTGTACCAAAATATGCCTTTATAAACTAAACATGGCGAAACTATTTACTTCTAAAACAATTTATTTTCTCAACAACATTTTAGATACACTCTAGTCGTAAAAAATACATATTTGAAATCACTTAGACCTATAACTAATAGAACATCTGAACAAATAAACAATGTGCGAATAAATGCGCGAAGTTAACAAAGCAACAATTGAAAGATTATCATTGGGTAACATCACCTTTATTTTTTATTACGGCTGAAATTCTTTGGGACATAGTGTTAACCAAGTTTTGGCAAACATTTGGTGTAAAACAATCCCAAATTTCTTGAAGCTTTTGTCTCAGTTCGGTGATTGTACGAGCAGGATGTTGTCATAGAACCTTTTTCATCTCGTCCACAAAGTTTCAATAGGTGACAGATCTGGACTGCTAGAAACCCATTTCAAAAGTGGTACATTATTTTCTTCCATCCATTTTATAGCCTTTCTTGAGGTATGGCACGCTGCACCATCTTGCTGAAGCACAAAATCTTGGCCGGATGCCAAACATTCTTCCATCGCTGGTAAAAGCGATTCTTCTAAAATTGCCAAATATTTGTTTGTATCCACATTTCCATCAATAAAATGAAGTTTTTCTACTCCTTTTGATGACATACTGCCCCAGGCCATAATGGATGCTGGAAATTTCACTTTTCTCTTCAGACAGTTAACATGGAATGCTTCATTTTTTTGCGAATAACTCTACTGCGACTGTCACCAACACAAATTTTGAATCGGGCCTCATCACTCCATTGTATTGCACACCATTGTTGAGGTTAAGGTGTCCATTGTCTATGTTCTTTAGCCCATCTAAGCCGATTTATCTTTTGCAGTGGAGTTAATAGTGGCTTTTCTTTGGCCTATAAACAAGTTGAGCAACTTTAGGGTTTTTACTTCACTTTTTTTATATATAAACTTACCTTGCAAGTGCTACATCCCAGTTTGTGGGCCTCTCTATGAGTTCTGGACCTCGAAATTCGCCTTTCAACAGCGTCACTCCACAGAGCACTTAGTTGTAAATAATTGGCACGCCTGTTTTTCACGATTATTCTTCTAGGCATTTGTGATATTACTTTGATATTACTTTTTTGATATTACTTTTTTTTCACATATCGTGGCTTAATATTAACTGAACCAGTTACGTTATATCTTCTAACAATATTTCTCACACTGTACCGCGATAAGTCTAACAAAGTTGCAATTTCTGAGTTTGATTTCCCAGAATTAAAAAATTTAAATACCAGTAACCGAATTTTCTCACTAATAACCTTTCCTCTACCCATTTTTAAAACCTTAACTACCCAAACCTATTTTAAACGTATTCTGACAGCTGTAATTAATAAAAACAATTGTCATGGCTTTTATTTTTCACAGCCACCTATGCGTTATAGACTTATTTTGCATTGAAATGAAAATAGATTGATATGCTGTAATTGCAACATGTGTTATTTTTATGCTGCAAATTTGATTAGGGAGTGATAAAGTTGGTGTTTTCTACTATATATTATCAAAATATTCATTGTTAGTATGTTAAACCTATAACACCCTGCTACATTTTTATTATTTGTGTTTGATAAGAAAAAAACTAAGATTTCAATAGTTGGGCCAACTGAAGTGGGAAGGGGCTCGTACACGCAGCCACCACAGAAAAACCTGACCATTTTATCACTTGTTGTTGGCAAGATAAATCGGTATGTAAAAAATTTTGAATTCTAATAAATATACGTTTTTTTTTGTCACTCAGTATCAGATAAACATTTGAATAAATTTTACTAGATAAGCTTCAGCCGTATGAATATGAAATTGGAAACCGTGACCTCATGAGAACTGATACAGTTAGGGTTTTAGGTATAACTTTTGATACAAAATTAACATTTGAAACACGTTAGAGAAATTACGTCTAAAGCATATAAAATATTGGGATACATTTTAGATCGACCAAACATCTCTCTGTAGAAGTTTTTTAAATTTTATACTGCTCTTTGGTGTTTTGGAGTACCACACAGTGGTATGATCGCCATTTAAGTGGTGACATTAACTCCATCCATTGAAGCTGTGCAAGGTACATTTTTAAAACAGGCAGCTATTAAAACGGGAGTCAGTTAAATATAGACTCATTGAAACTCCGCAGGGATATTCTTATTTTTATTTCCTTTTTAAAATAGTTAATGGTTTTATTGATCGTCCAGAGGTGCTTGCACAAATAAATCTTAATGTTAATGAACGACGTACTCACAATCGAGACCTGTTTACGTTTCCACATCATTCTACGGATTATGGTATGAATGAACCAGTTAATAGAGTCCTCAGATCTGACAACGCCGCTGTAAGCTATAGGATAGACGTTTTCAGTGGCAATATTAAGCGCATCAAAATCGCAAGAAAAATGTTTCTCTTTAACTTTCAAATATAAGTAAGTTGGGTATCACATGAATCTTTAGTTCTTGTTTAGTTCCATAATTTATACAGGGTGTAAACGTTATGATAGTCATTATTTAAATGGTGATAGAATAAAAAAGTTTCATATAACATGGGGGTCAAAAAAGGCATTTTTTTATAGACTATAAAGTAAAATAAAATCTGAAAACGCCGCAATGCCAGACGCAAACTACGACGGAACGCAGTGTAAATAAAGATGGAGTTTGTTATTTTTGGCTCTTAGGTATTATTTCATTGATAATGTACTCGTAAAATGCAAACAATTAAAAAAAACGGACTTGCCACTAACTATCTCAGCGCTTCACCTGGTGTGTGAAAGTTTATTGAACGTATTAAAATAATCCACTTATAAATAGGGAGCACAACTTTGATACATATATTGGTTTTCTTTTTAAAACCCACACTGCACTTTTTTGTATTCAAAGAAGGTGTTTAAAATGTGGTCCTCCACTTTCCACACAAGCTTCAGTACGAACCCAGTTTCTTCTTACTCTAGGTCCTCGAAGTTGTCCATTTATTATTTCAGCCGCATTAAAAAAATATTCGCGAAGTTGTGGTTCAGTTGTTATTGGACCAGCCCCATAAACCATCCCCAATACCAGAAATTCATCGGATTGAGGTCAGGAGATCTTGCTGGCCATGTTGTCTAAGGTCTGTTACAAAATTTCTGGTAGGTTATTGGCTAGAAAGCTAAGGTATCCTTCTCCTGACAACTTTGGGGGTAACTCGAAAGGGCCAATTACCTGATCGTCAAGAACACCCGCCCAAATATTTATTTTAAAATGTTGGAAATGACCTTCACGAATGGTATGAGCATTTTCTTGAGCCTACGTGGAGTATTATGGAAATTTAATATCCTGTCTCGCGTAAAAGTACATTCGTCCGCCGCTAGAATGTTTTTAAAAAAATCCGGATTTTCAATGTTTTTGTGTAAAAACCACTGGCAGAATGTTAGTTTGCGAGGATAGTCTTCTGGTAACAAGGTCTGCACTCGTTGTACATGGAAGGGATAAAGCAAATTTTCCCGTAGGATTCTATGGACTATGGGATAGTCCAATGCGGCGGCCTAATTCCTGAGTGCTGATATCTGCCTTGATTTCCACGATATTTAAAATTTGTTCCTCCTGCTCTACAGAAACCTGTCTTTCACGAGTGTGAATATTAGTGGGCTGAACACTTCCTGTATCTCGAAGTCTTTGTCTGGGTGTACCCGTTGGCGAAATCTGTCGCGGTGAATTTGAGCTGCAAGATTTGAATTCCGACGAGCTTCACCGTAAACTAACAGCATGTCGGCAAACTCTTGATTCGAGAACATTGTAAATAAACACGACGACGTACGCGAACAATAACTAACCACTGTTACCGTTTGCGATCGATTGCTGGTTGGATAAGAGTGATGATGACCGACCCGCTGTTGTCATGTGTGTTTTAAATATTTAATTTAATGAAACTTACTTACTTACTGACTACAAGTTTTGGCTTAACTTAGAAAAACTTAATGCCATTTATTTGTTGATAACCCAATTTAAAAACGTTTTAGATTAGATTATAAAAATTAGTAAGATTCTGGTGATTGTGGTCAACATAAAGCACTTAAAGTTGTAAACTATAAAGCCATTCAGACAAAAATCTATTGATTTTTGGATCATGGGTCATATGAACTTTTTGACTTGTTTTGAGCCCCCCTATTACCTATTTCAATAATGACTACCATAACGTTTACACCTTGTATATGTACGACCTTAAATAGAGATGTTGAATGTCTCGGGATAACCAAGATATGCTTATTCTTTGTGTTCAGTTGATTAACATCTGAGTATCTGATAAATTTGGTTGATAGATATGGAGGGGCTTGTATTGTGATTACTTTATGGGTCAAGGTCAATACGTGTATTTTTTGTAGCTTTTCTATTTTTATGTGATACTGTCTCAAATTTTCTCGCTCCACAAGTAAATCTGAGACACGCATTTTGAATAGTCTGAAGCCTCCTTATCTCAATGGATCTTAGTGCAGGCCCATAAATACAGTCACAGTAATAAATTCTAGACCATATGCAAAACGATAACTACCCACTGTTACCGTTTGCGATCGATTACCGGTTCGATAAGAGTGATGAAAGACCGACGGGCTGTTGTCATGTGTGTTTTAAATATTTAATTTAATGAAACTTACTTACTTACTGACTACAAATTTTGGTTTAACTTAGAAAAACTTAATGCCATTTATTTGTTAATTACCCGATTTAAAAACGTTTTAGATTACATTATAAAAAATAGTAGGATTGTGGTGATTGTGGTCGATATAAAGCACTTAAAGTTGTAAACTATAACGTCATTTAGACAAAAATCTATTGACTGTTGGACCATGGGTCATATGAACTTTTTGACTTGTTTTGAACCCGCTATTACCCATTTTAATAATGACTACCATAACGTTTACACCCTGTATAAATATATTGTAATTTGTCACATTAACATAATGTTTTTTAGGTAATGGGAAATCGTAAATGAATGAATAAATAAGTTTTGAAACCGTACCAAGAACGAGGTTTGTTCCTCATAATGTTTGACCGTAGTCAAAAGAAGTTCTTCATATAACTATATTCTGTTTTGGGTAGAATCAGATAATATGTCAATCAATACTCAGATGGATTGGATTTGTGACTGTATAATCATTTTCTCTATGTTAATGCTACAAAGAAAATTTGGAAATTGTTACCCAAGGAAGAATGCCGAAGTTTTTCCGAAACCCACAAGAGTTTTTTTTGTAATAAACTAATTTTAAACTGCTCGTAGTTTCAATTCTAAAAGAAAAGATTATTTATTTCTAGACCGTGAAGATGATGCCTCCTTCTACAATTCCTGAAAGCATTGTGTAAGATCACTTCATGCGTGGTAAGGTTTATATTTCTCTTAATTAAACACATTATTTGTGTTTTGATGAACATGTATGCAAAAGTGAAGCTATGTAGCTTATTATATGTATATATTCGCAATATAAGCACTTGGTGAAAGATGGTGATTTGCTGTTACACCCTTTCTGCAAATGTTTTGAGCCACTACCTATGAACCCAATTATATTTTGTAGACACAAGTTCCTCTAAAAAGACTAGCTGGGTACCCCGCGGATGAAATGCTGGCGTCACATGGCGAAGATTCGCCCTGTTCTGGACAAGGATGCTTGAAACGGTCAGCTCAAGAGGAAGGACCATTTTGGGCAAACAGAGGAAAAAGAGACCCGCTTCTGGATGACAGATTATGCTGGATTTTTGTCAGACAAAGCGATTTGGAATTTGAACCCCCAGGTGTACCTTACAGGTATGTACACTCGTTATATCATTGAACCGTATTCATACAAGAGAAGCATATTCTCGGAATCATAAGGTAAAAGTATAAGGTCTTGCTTCGGAGAACAAGGTAGAAGTATAAGCATATCCTTGTTTTCATATTCATTACGATTAACTTATACTCGTGAGGATATCCTCCAAGAATAAGTAAAAGGTTGACTGGTATTTGTATCTTGAGCGACATGTCCTGACTTGTTCCAGCTTGTAGTTGACGTGCGAGTTCGTTCACTCAGCATCACTGACAGTTGTACTCCAGAGCTTATACAGAGCGTTCCTTATTTTTACTGGATACAGTTTTTTATCAAATTAATAAGCATGTCATCATCAAGTGATGAGGAAACTATAGAAAATAATGGCAACGACCTGCAGTTCCAAAAATAAAAATGAGAAAGGACGATGTCTTGAAGAAGATGTTTAAAAAAGACGAATGAACGTCCGGTAAAGTATTAGATACTAAAGGCTTATTAAAAAAAATCAACAACATGAAATCAAGAATGAAGAAAAAACAGATCTAAAAAAAAACTGTTAATAAAGCAATAAAATTGTTAGATTGGGAAAAAAAGTTGCTGAAAGCTATGGAAGGTGACTGTAATCCTACAACTGGGAAAATTAGAGGTGCCATTCGAGTTGGTAGTGTTCAAGAAGAAGGAAGTAAACTATATACCGAGCGCAGTGAGCAAACAGATAGTATTACAGCGACAGCAATTCAGAAGACATTGCCACCAAAATTAGCAACAGAGAAATACGAAACTCGGGAAACCAAAGGGTTAACTATAAAATAACTGCAACGTCTAGTGCTATTATGGCAGTACCAAACAAGTATTTTACAACAAGAGTAAGTTATAAAATGAAATTAGAAATGATGCAGCGTCAGCAGCCACCTGTAACTTATGATGTTCACGAAAATAAAACTTATTATAACTTATAAATACACTTTAATCAGTAAAACTATTTATCATAATACTCAAGTTTCTTCTTATTTGTCGACCTAGTTGGCGGAGAGGAAGTTCGTCATTCTCATGATTTCCTTCATCTTGATCTGGGTCTTGTTCAACAACTCAAAATCAGGATCGCCCAAGTTCTTCGCAATATTATGGAGTACAATACAAGCAATAATTATTGTTGGCACATTTTCCAACTTTACGCGGCAAACATACTGTAGGATAGGAAACCGGCTTTTCAGTTGACCGAAACAGCGTATTAGAACTCTTTATTATTTTAAAAGCTTATTTTATATTATTTCTGCACCTGGAGTAGGATTTCATAAGGCATGGCTCAATACCATAACCGTCATCGCCAAGTAGTACCAAATTTGCTTTATTTATTTGTTGTGATCTAGTCTGTGAATTTCTCCATATTCTGGAAACATGCAATGATCCAGGCCAACTGACATAAACACTTGTGAACATCTCTCTGGCATCACAAGTGGCTTGCGCATTTAAAGTAGGTTTCCCTTTTCGGTTGATATACTCATCTCCATGGCGATTTGGTTTCAGGATTCCTATATGTGTACAATCAATTACACCAATTGCTGTCGGAATTTTATACATGCTTTGCCATATCCGCTTGGCCTCTATCAGTTCATGGTTGGTAGTTGGAAACTTGATCCATTCGTTCGACTGTGCAACTATGCTGTTCACAACTCTATCCACAGTCCGAGATACCGTTGCTTGACTAACACCAAGTTCCTAACCAATACCTTGTTGATGTTCAGGGTCACCGAGATCGCGTAGAATACATGAAAATGCTCCTCCTCGAGTTTCCTCTTTCTCAACAAAAAATCTGTCCGCGAGCCATTGTACATTTGCTTCGTCGAACATATAATTCTTTGAAGTCACGACCAAGTGTAGGTAAACGAGGTTTGTACGTTTTAACATCCCTAATATCCACAATTTCCGCCATCATCGTTTGACCACCTTTCGTTACGAAGTTGAGTCTGCTACTGATCACACTCAGAATTTTTGAATGATATACTTCCTATGCCAAGTATAAGGTGAAGATTATGAATATCCTTTTACTTATGTCACTGCTTTGAAGGATATGCGTATACTCAAAAAGCAAAAGCATTTACCTCAAATTATTATAAATACCATCTGGAGGATTTCCCTCAAAATTTGCAAGTACAATGATATCCTCTGTTATATGAATACGGCTCATTGTGAATAATCAGCAATGAAATGTAGATGTGATACGAAAAACAATTTCTGGGGTTTCATAAGTTATTGCACAGTAATTTTGGATGATTCATCACAACTTGCAGTACGTAAATAGAAATACAGGTCAAAATTTTATTAACACCCAAAATATTATTTTCTAAAAATATAGCAGTTTTTCATGCTATTGCTATCTCAAATTTCTATCTAAATTGGTGTATTGTTACTAGAGTGGCGCAACAGCAAAAACAACATAGTTGTCTAGTATTGAATGCATTTGTTTGATGAAAATTATTCAAAATAGTCAACCTAATTGATAGTAAGCTTGTTTTGCAGAAAACATGAACTCCGAATGAGGGACAGAAGAGCCAAAGGTGATGATCTTCCATTTTATGCCGCACGAGGGAAAAAGCAGCGTTCCAAACACGATAACCAACTGTAAATTGTAACTTATAGCTGATAAATGACATGTACCATCAGTTGAACCCATCTACTCAATTTTGTTAATATGTAACGATTTGTTACGTTATTGAATAGACATATTCCTAGTGTGCAATAAATTATTTTCGTTATTTGCTCCTTGGCTTTCTTGTTTTGAAAAATTTATGGAACATTAAGGCATTAAGGGATGAACTTAAAAAAATATAGAAAGAAAAGTGGGACTCAAAAACCAGCTGTGTTCCTACACTGGACAGACCAGACTTTTGAGGTAATCGTTATATGAATAATGAGAGGATTTCTAGAAAATCGACGCTAGGATCCACGAGGTGAGGGAGGGAGGTCCCAAATGACACATTTCTAACCTCAAATTCGGCCTCTCGATACGTCATAATTTTTTGGCAAGTCATATTCGCAATGGGATGAAAACTTGTTCCCGGGATAAACCAGATATGTGGATTCTAAAATCAAATTCAAGCGAATAACCAAATGAAAATGGTATTTACCATCATGGATTGGTGTTTACCGATCCGTTCAAGCGAGTGTGATTATATAAGATTCGTGACGTCATGCTGCTATAAGTCATAGTTATCACCGTAAAATTGTGTTATTTACCCAACTCCGAAGTATATTTTCTGTTTTTGTCTGTTTTTAAGTACGTTTGTCGGTTAGTATCAATACAAGCTTTTCAAGAGTCGCCAGGGCAACATGTTATCGGTCAAATGACACCAAATTTACCATTCTGTGACGCTTATATACTCAGTTATTACAAATTTCTTATATGCACTAGCGTAATCGTAACGTAAAAATAAAAATAGCTGCCATTTCAAGAGGGGTGAGGTAGGACACGGTAGGGAGTGGACTTGTCGATAAAAATAGCTGAAAAATACCCCCCTTAAATATCGGTATGTCGTGACCCTGTATTTATAAAGGGTTGTCCAATAGGACGCAGGAAAGTAAACGTCAATTTGACATAGACGCCATCTTTGTTTTCTGTCACCGACATGTCATTTTGTTAGTTGAATGTTTACCATTGATCGCTATGGAGTCGTATTCGATTGAAGACCGCATTAAAGTTATTCAAGAGCACTACAAAAATAGTGCAAAAATAAAAAACGCGTTTCGCGCGCTTCGTGAACATTTCGGTCGCAACAACCGCCCAAACGAAACAACCATCGGTCGTCTGGTGCGTAAATTCGAGGCAACAGGTTCTGTGGTAAATCTGCCAGGCTCTGGCCGGCCAAGTAGCGTTCGTACACCGGAAAATATTGCTGTTGTGAAGGAGAGTGTGAGAGACGATCCAAAACAATCAACAACGCGTCGATCCCAAGAATTGGGCATTTCGAGAACCAGTCTGCTCCGCATTCTCCACAAGGATTTGAATGTACACGCCTAAAAGATCCAATTGACGCAAGAGCTGCGTCGGGCCGACCATTTTTCGCGCCGAACGTTCTCAGATTGGCTCCTTGAACACCGCCAAATTGATGCCAATTTTTCATCAAAAATCATGTTCAGCGACGAAGCGCATTTCACTTTGAATGGGACGGTAAACAAGCAAAACTGCCGCATCTGGGCGAACGAAGATCCCCGTGAGTATCAAGAGCAGCCGATGCATCCTCAAAAAGTGACTGTGTGGTGTGCATTGTGGTCAAAAGGCATCATCGGACCTTACTTTTTCGAAAATGCGGCCGGGGACGCCGTTACCGTCAATTCTGAGCGATATCACGTGATGAAAGAGGACTATTTTTTGCCGCAACTTGAAGGAATGGATATGGACGATGTTTATTTCCAACAAGACGGTGCAACATGCCACACAACCAACGTCAATATCCATCGATTGCAGTCCTTCTTCGGTGATCGCGTGATTTCGCGCAGAGGAAATGTGCCATGGCCACCAAGATCGTGCGATTTGACTCCCTTGGACTTCTTTTTATGGGGATATTTGAAAAGCAAAGTCTACGTCAACAAACCAGCCACCCTCCAAGAACTCAAAAACAACATCATTGCCGAGATAAATGCCATAGAACCGACCATGTTGCAAAATGTCATTGAAAATTTCGACCATCGCGTGGACGTCTGTAAATCCAGTCGTGGTGAACATTTGAGCAATATTATTTTTCATACATAAATGGTATAAATGAACCTTCAAAATAAAGTACCCAACTTGATTTGAATATCAATCTTTCTTGTTTTAATATGCGTTTTCTTTCCTGCGTCCGTTTTGGACAACCCCATATAATAACCTCAAAACAATGTTATCAGTTTCTTTTTTGACAAAAACAGCATTTTTGTGCATTTTTATGCAATCTTTTTTCAATCATAACTTATTAACAAATCAGTTCTGAAATTCTTTTATGGAAGAATTGACCGGGTGATCAATTTTTTCTTATCGCTTTTTCTCTTCAAAAAATCTGCAGAACAAATGGAATATGAAAGTTTGGGGACGTTTTATTGGCAGAAAACTTGTCGGGACTTTTTTTCGAGAATAGATTATCAGGCACGGGATACTGGAATTATTTGATGGACCTTTTGCCTCAGTTTTTGGGGAATGTCAACTTCCTAACATGCCTGGAAAAGTACTACCAACATGATGGCGCACTTCCGCATATGATCACCGTGTGCGTAACTATCTGGACACCTACTTGTGGCGGGTCTATATCCTCACCTCCTAGCGCACCAGATCTGACCACTATGCATTTCTTAATTATGGAGCTAGGTTAAGCAATAAGTTTGTAAAAGTCCACCTTTTACCCCGGAAAATATGAATTTATACAAAGAATTAGGCTGTGTATACAACATGGAGGGAATATTTTCGAGTAGCAATAACAATTGTATGTGTTGTTAATGACTGACACCAATGCGGATCATAGATATTGTTGGATTAATTTATATCGTTATGATTATTTTTACCTTGAATGTGTATCTTTAGTGGCAATATGGAACTAACCTGCTTGTCTTTTGTTTCCAAGGATGATGGGATTTTTCAGTAATTTTGATGTGTTGTTTTATTATGACTTGAATAATTCAACAACTAGTGATTTAAGCCTTATCGACCCTTAAAACAAAAAATGTTCATAAAAGGAGGATCCAAAATGCCAGAGTATACAGGATGCTGCACTACTTTTAGAAAAAGTACATTTGCGTTTTTGACCACCATGTATAAACAAAAATGAGTATTAGAAAAACTTCAATAAGGTTAAAGCCAAGGTTTTGTGGTAAAAAGTCTTTCAAAACAGTGGGTTGGCGGGTTGCCAATGTTGGGAGTTTTTCTGGACAAAACTCATTGTGATTCAGACCCTAATTACCAGAACCCCATAGTATGGTATATCAATCGTCTTCTTTCTACTCTTCTTTTTATTTGTTTATCCAAAGATGCAATAAAATTTGAAGCATACCATTAAAAAATTACCACTTTCATATACGAGTGAAAATTGGGTCACCCCGTATAATTCTGAATATTTCAGAAATATACCCGCATAATATCCCGTAATTGTTTCTTTTTACAAAAATATATTTATTTATTAGTAGTATTCCATCCCCCACAGGGATGAGCGATAATAAATATAACAGGGTCCTAAGCTAGGTCCGTGTGGTGCACCAAAACTAGTTTTTTGTGCAGTGTATCGATCTATAAACTCTATGCATCTACCCTCGTAGTTCAGACTGCGTTGTCCCTTCTAGAGCAACTCAAACATTGCGCCAAAAGGTTGCGCGTAATGGTTGCGCCCTGCGCACCCGTATTGCCGCTGGGATCCCTTCCTAAAGGCAATCATACACGTTAAAGCTGTTGAATATAGCATCAATCTTTAAAAAATATAAAATTGTATACATATACATATATATGTATACATCTTGAGACGTGGTCATTGTCGACTAGACCAGTTAGGTGAAAAATCAAGCTTCCGCCTTTAGTTGGGTACTTCGACAAAATTCGAGCAATGAGGACTCTTTATACTTTATTAGTCTCTAGCTCTCAATAGACTTTGCGATCTTCATCAGCAGCTGCAATAATATTGAGAAGAAATAGCAACTATTGTGCAAACTGATTTTAAATTACTTACAATAGTATGTGAGATTGTTGCTAAATGAAATTAACGGTTAAGTTGAGGGAAACATTTAGTAGCCTGGTGAAAGCTGGATACATGGTACATTCATTAAAATTAATATAAAATACACACAGCTGTATGTCAGGAACACATCGAAACGGATTAAAAATATTTAGAACGAAAGTTAAAATTACATCGTGAACCACCTGATGCTGCACAAAATGGTGTGGCATCGGATCATAAGTAGGATGAAACATTTGACAGATGACAGAAGGTTGGAGGTGTTAGTGTCGATAGATCGAACGAATAGTTGCTATTTCTTCTCAATGTTATTGCAGCTCCAGATGAAGATGGCAAAGTCCATTGAAAGCTGGATACTAACAAAGTATAAAGAGTCCTCATTGCTTGAATTTTGTCGAAGTACCCAACTAAAGGCGGAAGCTTTATATTTCACCTATATGTGTATATAATATATATATATATATATATATATTATTCACAAGTCGTGACTAAAAATTAAACATCATACACAAGATCGCATTTCAAGTGGGGTCTTCTATGTAATATTTTTTCCTCGAGGGCTTCATTAACAGATACGATTTGGTATGTGGGTTTACCTAAGAACTGTCTACATTCAAAAGTCTTCACTTAAAATTAATGTGCACCAGTAGCAGAGATACAGGGGATTAGTGGCATTATTTTTCCAAACAAAAATAATACGCCAGTTTTTTTACCTTCAATTTGTTACTAGAGTGCACTGTTTTCGTAAAAATAAAAATAAAACAAATTAGATCATTCATGAAGAACCAAAATACAATAGTTTCTAATTAAAAATATGAGGTCTTGATACCATCTTGACGTTCCTTGGGTTTGTCAAAGTTATGTGTTTTACGGTTGTTATCGTTGCTACTCATGCTTTTGATTTATATCATCTATTATATAAGCCTAAAAATTAGAAAGAAAACATAGCCTCAAAAAAAACAAGGCCATAAAGGCGTCCTACAATTGAAGGAATGACGGACCATATGGCCCTAACACTCATCATGATATCCCGTTGACTTATG